GGGGGAGATTCATGGCTGTCGTTTGAATAAGGAACATGGCTCGACTCATCTTCAGAAAAAAAAAAAGAAAAAGGAAAGCATGTTTTTCATATCACCGTGTCAGTTATTATGTGGTGATTTTAATGCCCTTCTCACGCATACTTTCCGCGTGTGAAGGCGCTCCGCGAACGGGTGAGTCATGTGCGGCGGAGCGTCGAGGCAATTCATTAAGCGTCTCGACTCAAAGCGCTACGGTTTTGAACCGGGATCAAGGACATTTTTGAGGGACGCGATCATACTGATGCACTTATTGGTTGAAGATTCAAAACAGGGTCGGGGTGTCCCGCGGGCTTCGGGATTTAATATTACCAAAAGGCGACTGAGGTTGCGCCGCCGATGCCGCCTCGTCTGTCTTCACGTGAAAAACGCAACAACTATTCATGACTTCATTTGACAAATGGGACCGCGTCGTTTGTGGAGCAGACACAAATCTTGATAAGTATTCAAATAGGCTTTTCGTAAGTCGTAAGGCTGGCATGCACATCGATGAAGACAAATGAGTGCTGTGCCGCAATCCAGTGCCTCCCTCAAATAAACAAATCATTCCCCCCCCCCATGAAGAAAAAAATTAATAAATCACAGTCATCGTTCATCTAGTCCCGTAAATTTGTTTCATTTCCAAATACTAGTCATCTAGTCACTAGTCGACTTGCCCAAAATGCGAATCACTTCACATTTATAGCCAACCCAAGAACAGTCGCTCCGTTTTTTTCCCCGGCTTGACTCACCCCCTCTCCCAGGTCCCAGAATAACAACCCGTAATGGTTCAACAAGCAGCGTTTTTTTGGGTTTTTTTTGGGGTTTTTTTTTCTTTCATTGGTATTAGCATTAGCGGTGCCCAGGAAAAACACTTGACCTGATTGAAGAAGCAGAGCGCCGCACAAGTCGGATTCCGCATGGCCCCGTCGAAGAGTTATCCGTCCTCGCCATCACGTCGGGGATTCTCCCAACTGCGTGTGACGCGAAGTAGCCCGTATTGGATTCGAGTGGGGTCAAAGGTCAGATCAAGCTTTTCGGAAGATCACAACCGGGGGTCGTCGGGGGGGAAAGACAAACGAGGATGAAAGGGGAAATTAGGCGAGGAGTCTCCTCAGATGAACCTGTAAACTCCCCCCGTTGCCCCCCCCCCCCTCCTGGGGGAGCCTTCCCCGGCACGCGGCTTTCGACCCCGTTTGATGAAGAGCCAGGAAGGGTCACGCCTCTCCTCGCTATTTATCAACCTTCATCTCACAGCCGTGAAGCAAAGCCCCTTTTTTTGTTTGTCCCCCTTTATGTGAATTACCAGCAAAACCTTGATGGATGTGCGGCGTAGGTCGGATGCTGAACTTTGACGGCGAGGATGGAGTGTGGTTCCCGGACGCGCCGGGCGGCGCTGCGGGTAATCCGTCACCCGAAGGCTCCGTGACAACCGCCGCCGTGTTCCGGCCGAACGTACGCGCGAGCATGATGGATGGATGACCGCCCAGGCAACGTCACCGCAAAATCTGATAGACACTGGGCGGGTAAATGCGCCCCTGGGATGCAACAGGAATGGAAAATGGAAAACGGCCCGCGATGGATTTGGATTGCCAGTCAATCGTCGTGTGATTGTACTGATTGGGAATCGATCGGCTACGTGAACCGCTGCACTCCACTGGATGTCACGAAATCAATCCATCTATTTTCTTTCGACGTTCAGAGTCACAGATGAGCTACAGTCGCATTTCGTCAAAAGTTGGAAACCCCGGAACGGTCGCCAATCAATCATGACGGATTGATCGAGCGACAGCGATGTGAATCACTGTCCTCCACTGGACACCAAACATCCATCCATCCATTTTTCTACCACTTATCCTGTTCGAAAACAACTTGAGCTGGAGCCTATCCCGGTTGGAACAAGCGGCGGACCGGTCGCCAATCAATTGATCCCCACAGTACCCAATGGACATAAAAGCATCCGGCCATCTATTTTCCAAACCCGTCAATGGGTAAAATGTTGCTTTATATCGACTTAGGGAAAGGTCATTTAAGTGTATAAGGGCAGTTACCATTGACTTTATACAACTAGCTTATGATCGGGCATTCTGGCCAGGAACAGTCCTATAAATTTCTGACCTTTAAAGAGCGCCTGCCGGGCGGAAAGCACCTGTTCGCCGTTTGCCGTGGCATAAATCATCCGACGCATTGCTCACGTGTCATCGCTTGGTGATTTACTGCAAATGTAGAGTGTCGCGCCAGCGTCGGCACAAAGTGGGGTTCGAGGCAGCAGCCAAAGCAGTAGCAGGGATTGTGTTTCTAAAAACACAACTGATTTTCGACGACAGCAGATTTTAAAAAAACACACGCACAACTCAATTTTCTTCGCAGCTTTAGAGTCCCGAGTTGGAGATTCTCCCAGCTGAGTTGGGTAGGGGGCCGGGTACGCCCTGGATTGGTCGCCAGTCACTCGCGAGCGGTCGACAGCCAAGTGGCAAACGGCACATGCAAAACAAGCGCCGTAACCATGGTAACCTAACCAGGGTGGCCAGGGCGACAGCAGCCGAGAGGCAAAAGGAGGAGGAGGAAGTGGGAGGAGGGCGACCCCCTTTTTACCTGTCGTCGTAGCAGAAGTCCGCGTCCAGCGTGTTCACGTACACCCCCACGGCCACGGCGGTGCACAGCAGCTCCGTGATCATCTCTCCGAGCCGAAGCGGAGCTTGCACGGGGGGTCGGGAGGGGTGTGAGGATGGGTTCGAAGAGGAAGGTCGAGAAGCGGATGACAGCCGAGTGTGCCTGTCGTGGCTCAGCCGCTCGGCAGCGCGGCTCTCGACGCCGCGCGGGGCTTCTCCCGGCGCACCCGAAGTGTGCTGTCACGGCGGGCCATGACGTCCCCCACCCCCCCTTTGCCCACCCGAGACGCTCACGGGCGGCTCGCGAGGGTTGTCAGGAGGCGATGAAGAGCGATGAGATGAGAGCGCGTGGCGGCGATGCGCATCGCCGGTCGATGTGCGTGAGAGAGGCGAGGAACGGGAGCCAAGCGCGCGTGGTTTGGAAGGCGGGGAGGCTGCGCATGCGCACTGGCCGCCGCACCGAATACAATAGCGGGCACACAAAGAAGGCTTTTGTCGTTTATTACTGCCGAATCTGCAAAGAACGAGTCATAACTGTCGAATAAAAACACACGGCATTTGATTTGGGATGATAAATAAACGGATGCGTCCATTATTAATAATGAAAGGCAATAATTAAATACGAAAAAAACCCAAGTCCCCCAAATGTCTTTTAATTTTTAGATGGATATTCATAATGAACGCTCAAAATAGCATATGCGGTTACAACCCTCAGTCTGCTGACAGAAAGCAAAAGCCTACTTGAACATCTGAAATTTATTTGCGGTGAAATGTACTCCAACTGGTGGCAGGCGTGTACTGTTTTGACCTCAATTCTTGGGATGAGTGGTTAAAAATTCTAATTTGTGGAAGCAATTGATTGTGATCTATTTTTTGTGTGTGTGTCACAAAAAACAAACAAAACCGGCGTTCAAACAGGGGTGTGTAGACTTCTTATTTCCACAGCCGCCAATGCATCTTTGTCCTCTGTTTGTCGAGGTTGCGGATGGACGCCAGGTTGGACCCGCTGACCGCCAGATGGACCAAAAGCTTGTCCCACGATCGGGGGGCCAGGCGTGATGGAACAAGAGCCCAATAGGAAAAGCAAAGCAGATGGAGCAGGATGCACCGAGGGCAGGCGGAGGTTAGTGACACATTTGTAACCTTGGCTTCGGAGCAACTCATTAAGCGGTGTTTGCTTCGCCGGCGCTCGGTTTTGGGATTCCTCGCTATCTTCCAGCACAGAGCCAAGAATTCAAAGTCTACCCTCATTTGAACCCGCGAGGACGGGAGGGGGAAAGGGCAGGCTCCCGTTTTACAGCCAGCCAAAGTGATTAGGGATTAGGAACAACATTGCCACAATTATAAATAAGCTGAACATAGGGGGGTGACTATCAATATTATATCTCAAACACGTCTTCTTTTGCACATTTCTGTGGCCTCTTCGATGTTTCAATTCACTTCCCTTTTGCGATGGCCGCCCGTTCGTCAAATATCCCGAATCTAATTTCAGAGCGGCGTGGGAAAAAAAAAAAATAAAAAAAAACAATCAAACTTTTGCCACGGAGAGCATTTCCGTCGATATATCCGCCGATACGACGCGCTGTAGGCCAAACATAGCGAGTCATTTCCCCCCTCCGTGCTATTTACTCCGGAACCACTGCTTCTTCACCCCTGCAGATAAACATCGCGCAGGAAACGGGTAATCACAGCTGCGGGGGCTGAGCCTCGCTTTCCGTCGACGGTCTCAATATTAAGCGTGAAGCCAAAACCCGCCTCTGATGTGCGTGACAAGAAGCCCCCCTCATTTTTGTTTTGAATGACTTCAATCATATTTATTGGACGTCATTTCGAAGCATTCTTGGCAACGTTTCCCGCCCGCGAGTGTGAAAATCCATTCGGAATCGAGCAAAAGCGGCAATCAGACGGTTGCGGTCGCCGCCAATGCTGCAGCTCCACACGAAGTTCGATTCCATTCATAATTCATGCGTCTGCGACCTCGACAATATTGGTTTCCAAGCATGTAAAGATTTATCGAGGGAGCGAGCAAAACAGCTGTACAGATTAAAGAGGTCAAGGCCTCTTCCTCCGACGCCGGGGAGCCTCGCGATGTTCTTTCCAGACTCGCGTGGCCATCCAGGTTTCGCTTTAAAACTCCCCCGAAAGGGCTCAGCGGCTACGAGCGTTTTTTGAGACACCCTTCCAGCCTCAAGATGAAAAAAAAATAAAAAAAATTACACAGCTCAATCAAACAAGACTGGTGCTTTTTTTTTTTTTTTCCAGATGTTGTCCAGCACGTGTTGCATGACTTGAAAAGCGACACTATCTGTTCAGAAGAAAAAAAAAATCTCCCTTTATGACTAAAGTTCTTGTCATAGAATCAATTAGCGATGTACAAAAATAGCGCTGCACGTCACCCCTTCAGCGCGACGATGGCGTAACATCTCGGCGACAGAAGCGGGTCGAACAGTTGCACCAAAGCGGAAAAGGATCCCTCATCCTGTAAAAAAAAAAAAAAGTTGTTTCATAATCTTTTTTTTCAGATGGAAAAATTTGGTGATCTTGCCTAAGTCCTTCACCGATTAACTTATTGATGCCAAAGTGTGTCCCAAGACTTTTGTCCATCAAAGTGACCTCCCAGTGGAGGCTCCGCCCACTTTCTTTATTTACGTAGCTCCAGGAAGCCTGAACTGTGCGTTCGACCCCTGGCGGGTGGCTCAAAATATCGTCAACAAGCAGGTTCATTGAGTTGAATGTCAGTCAAAGTCATGATCACGATTGACCCCAACAGGAAGTCGGCCATTTTGCCTTGAAGCGGCCATTTGTGATTTAAGCGAGCGCGCTTTTCGCATGAGCGTCTAATTACCTGCTCTTTCAGGTAGCAGAGGCGGTCCATGAGAATGAGGCCTTCAATGCAAGGAGCCAGGGTCACCTTCAACTCCACACGCACATGAAAACAGAGTTTTTAATTCCTCATCCATTTGCACATCAAAACCGCCCGCCGAAAGTCATTTCACTGTTCGCAATGAGGTCCTTTAACGGCGGGGCAATTTATTGGCTTTTACGAGCAGGCATGAAAAGGTTTCCACCCGACGTGAACGCGGGGGCGGCTGTGAAAATGGCTCACCAGATTGAAAGCGTGCATTTCTGGCCGGCGAGGCGCGTGCACGTCGTGGTACCGCTGAATGTCCTCGTCGGAGAGCTGGAAGGAAAATGCATCATCAAGGGCTGTTTGGGACCATTTGGCGTGCGGTTGCCTTGGCGATCGCACGACAAATGAAGCCAATGGGGCCTCGCGGCATCTCAAAAATGGAATAGAAATGTGAAATATTGCGATTTTTGACCTTGGAATCATCCAGGTCCAGCTTGCGAAGAGCCCGTCGCACGTAATCCACAAAAGATTTCGCCTTGGAGTAGACGTTCCCCACTCGCTTTTCGCTAATAGGGAGCAAATACTTCATGACAGCGAGACGTACATCGTGATATACAGTACATGGAGACGGACAGTCCTCAGAAAGCTACAGTTGCTCTTCGCAGAGGATAAAGAATACATACATAATATACACTTATAGATAATAGGAAGGCAAAAAATAAAAGGTTTCCACAAACCCACGTCTTTCCACAATGCCGTAAATATTTCGACTTCCTGTTACCTTTTATAGGCGCCGTAATGATCCCGGAGAATAACATGCAGGACTGCCCGGTAGAACAGTGAATCCATCTGAATCTTTTGTGTGAGGAAAAAACACAAATCAGCATGCCGGTAGATGAGCGAACAATGATTTGATGAATTTTTTTGTTTGTTTGACTGTTGACCCCACCCAAACAAACACGGACGCACTTACCCCGTGGCCCACTGCAACTCTTTCCAGCGCCTGTTGTTGTCAGCAAGGAAGGAAGGAAGCGCACCCGTGAGAGACTCGTCGCACCGTAATACGCACACGACTCGCGGAACTCACCAAGCACGCCGACATCCTGGCGTTTCGGCCGCAGAACCACGAGCGGCGGCGGAGGTGCTGACTCAGAGGGAACCCGAAAGCACCACGCGAACTCTCTGGAGGGGCCGCAGAAGCTTTTGATGAGGCGACGGAGGAAAAAAAACACACTCTGGAGTATTTTCTGTCAAGAATACGCTTTCGGACCCTGCGTGTCGGGTTCGAACTCCTCCGAGAGTTTGTTGTAGCAGCATCCCACGCCGCAGACGGCGAGCAGCTCCGCTTTGGCCGCGAACATTCGGAGCATGCTCGGTGCCAAGTCGCCGCACGTGTGCAGGCCCACCAGGACCGCGTCCTGGCGTGGGGACGAGAGGTTTTTAGACAAAGTTTGGCGACGATGCAAAGTCCAGATGCGGGATGAGCTGACCTCAAGCTCCTCGATGAGCTCCCTCAGCTCCGTTTCGGCGGTAACGTAGGACGTGAGCGGAGAAAAGACGGCGCCGGTGGCGCCGCTTCTGATCTGGGCTTTCTTCTGGAGGTTCTCCATCTTCCTCCTCTGCCTCTCCTCATCGGTCAGTGAGACCTTGCCGGACTGTTCCACCTCCAACGACATGGCACTCAAGAAGAGCTCCTCGCTGGTGTTCAGGTCTGGGGTCTGGACCTCAGCCTCCTGTGGTTCATTTCCATCTTCTGCATCTTTGATTTGTGGTACGTCTTTCTCTGCTTCTGCAGCCTTCCTGTGTTTCTGGTACACCTTGGAGAACTTTTTCAATTTGCGGTTCCTCTCCTGGGCCCCGTGGGTGTTGATGCTGGACGAGTCAATGCCGAAGACTCGAAGGCCGTGCTGCATGGAGAGGAAGGAGCTCAGGTAGCCCTTCCCTGAGCCCACGTCGATAACCTGCGAGATCCACGCCATGCTTATCAGACCCGATATAATCCAATACAGGGCTCAAAAGTAATACTTTCCTGTTTGACTCTACAGCGCTTGGCCAAACAGTCCACTACCTCAGCCATTGACTGCACCTCATGCGACTTTTTTATGTTCATGAACTCATCCGGGTCTAATTCGACAACTAAAAGAGAGAGAGAAAAAAATGGTGAGCTCTCAAACCATTGCATCCAAATGACCATCACGTCATACCCATATCAGTGCCTAACTCCGAGGGCTTTCGTCTGAGGGCCTCCAAAAGCTCATCCCGGCTCGTGCAGACCCCCAGGCCGGGAAGTGAGTGGGCCTTGGCTGAACGCAAGAGTTCATGTGGGTCAACCAGCCTGTTTGCGTCTTGGCAAAACCCGAATGTGGTCCTCGATTGTTCTGTTCATGGAGAAAAAGGCAAGAAAAAGATCCAATTCCATTGTTTACATGCACATAATATTTAAGATAATCACATTTTGTTTAAATAATGTACTGGTAATATTAAAATGTCAACAGAAACGGTTTCGGTCACTTTGTTTTTGGACGTCTGGCTCCCTCTGGCGGCCACTTATGCCAATTGCATTCAGCACCTCCTCAGGCGGCACGGCCATGAAACGACTCCACACGTCGTGTGTGTAAAACTCCACCGTGTGCGCGTTTGCGATGCTCAGAGTGGCCGCGAGAAAACGCGCTACTTCATCCATGCGTTGCCGCAGCTCCGCGAGGCTGACCGAGGAGGGAATCATGGTAAAAAACGATAAAAACGAGGCGAATAGTCGCGATTCATGTCAGTCTACTTTCGAAGTAATCCAGGAATAGGTAGTCGAGTAACGATCATCGATGTTCCACTCGTGTGGAAACGCGGTGTGTAGAGTGTTTACGTTTTAGTTTAAGCCATCACTAAATTTTAATTTTAATCTATGTAATAATTAAATTATGGTTGTGTTCATTATTTAAAAATTTGACGTGGATAAAACAGAAATATCGAATGGTCTGAATTCTTTTCATCTTGTCTTCTACTAAACGTCATCATCCCGCGACTGCGACTCAGAAGTGGGACACGCATTCGGAACACATGTAAACATTTCACCATCCTAGGGCCAGACCGAAGTTTAAATGGCACCGACACATGCCAAATGGAAGCCAGGTAACCTTCCACCGAAAGAAGGGAACTGGAAGAAGCCCCAAAAGCAAAATGCCGTCGTTAAAAAGAAGAAATGGGTTCCGGTAAACAAAGTTTTCCAAGGAAGTATTAAAGAAGGTAAGTTAAGGCTTCAAGTTGTATTGCTTGTTTTTCTGTTGTATGTCTGTGCTAGCTTCCATTTTTATATTTTTCTTGGTAATCTATTGCACGGTGTTTTCAGAATTTCAACATAATGCTCCTCTTAGACAAATTGCATGGAAAAGAGAGAAAATTAGTCATTTTAAGCATGGTGACAAAAATGTCCACAATATTTTTACTAACTTGGGGGCAACCACCACGATCTGACACCTAACACGCTTTTGTCTCCATGTCCCAGGTCAAGGTTTTGCGTTTGAGCGCAAAGAGAAAGTGAAGCATGAGTACAACAAACTTTTGCGAAAGGAGAAGAAGAAAACAAACAAACAGACGTCCTCAACATCGTTGCTGTACCACGACGAGTACCCGGAACACCTCAAACATTTGTACATGGCCGAAGCGGAGAAGCTGAGGAATGAGGTGTGGACAAACAGAGTGAACCGGGTCAAATTGAGAAAGAAAGGACAAGGCCAGGAGAAACCAAATGAGGCCGAGATGGAGGAGAAGGCTGGTTCTGAACCAGAAGATGCAGGTCCCTCTGAGGCTGAAAATACAGAAAAATCAACACCGGTATCAGAAAGGTATAGATTAAGTCATCGAAAACTCACGCCAAGTGTACTTTTCAATTGCCAATGTGTCGGGGTGACTCCTTTCATTGATATTCTCTTCTAGCCTGCCACTAAGCAACCGCATGAAGAAAAAGATGGACAAGAAGACGTCCTACCAAAGGTCCCTGGAGGAGTGCGAGCGAGTCAGACAAAAGCAGCGGGAAAAAAAAGAGGTCATTATCTTAAACATTGGTGGACTTTCTGTTTCGATGCTTCAATTTCGATCGATGCTTTCCAGGAATTCCTGAAGCGCAAGCAGCAGCGTGAGGAGTCCATTCGAAAGTACAAAGAGAAAAAGATGGAGACGTACCAGATGCTTTGCAAAAAGACCAAGAAGGGGCAGCCCAATCTCAATCTTCAAATGGACTACTTGCTTCAGAAGATCCAGAAAATCTCAGAAACGACTCCCAAAAAATGAACACGCGCATGATTTGGGCCAGAAAGTGAATCTTGTGCGGTTTTACCACAAGATGGCATTGTAAGATAAGGCGACAATGTCCTCTTGTGTCATTTTGTGCATTTCATAATAAATGTGAAAATACAGCCCTTGTTATCATGAATGAAAAGCAATTCCATTTGAGGTTGTTGTCATGGCAACAAGAGCACGTTGCGCACAAGACCTTATGCTGGGGGTAGGGGGGAGAGCCTCGGGTCTGCATCCTCATGACATCACGTGGTCGCTGGATGACGAGGTAACTTTCAGACTTTTGTTCCTCTCGTTCGGCCGCGTCATTCACGGTAAGAAGTTATCGAAATGTTCATTTGGTTCGTCAAAAGTTGTCTTTCATGACCAAACAGTAATTTGGTGTCGTATTAGTTTTGCTGGCATTCTAGGTATGAAGATAAGCCCTGACGGTCTCGGGGGGGGCTTAGTGGCTTATGAGAAAAGATGTGAAATTTTTCGATCATCTGTACTCAAAAGTTAATTTGTGAAAAGTGCCCGATTTGACCTATTTAAAATGTTCTGCATGGACAAAAGCTCTGTGATTGTGTTTGACGAAGCGTACACTTTTGAAAGGAACTGTTTTTCCCTTTGTTGTCATGACAACCCAAAAGGGCTCAGCGCGCTTAACGCCACCCCACGGATCTTGATTCCGCGCTGACCTACATGCCGCGCCAAGGTTTCGCTCGCTGAAGGCTCGCCGGATCCAATCCACGATGGAACACGAGGAGGAGAGCAGGAGGCCCGGCGGCCGCGGCTCGGGCTGGGGTCACATCGCCCTGCTGGATAAGACCAAGGAGTTCTTCCAGACGTGCGACGTGGAGGGCCGGGGCTTCATCACGCGCACCGACATGAGGGTGAGAGTCGGCGAGGGGAGTCTCGGATGTGTCGAAGAAAGCTCGTCTGATGCTGTGGTGTGGTGATGTCAGAGGCTCCACAGGGAGCTGCCGCTGTCGGCCGAAGAGCTGGAGGACGTCTTTGACTCTCTGGATACGGAGCACGCCGGTTATCTCACGCTGGAGGCCTTCTCTTCGGGATTCAGTACGTTTGAATCATTTCAATCCGGATGACCAAAGGAGAGCCAAGTTTCGTAAAAAAAAAAAAAAAAAATCAATTTAACCAGTTCACAGCGCTCTCTAGTGGTACATTTTGGTACAATACAGTTGGAGGCAATTGATAAGAACTGTTTATTTTCTGGAACTCCATCCGGGTTTCTCAAAGGTCAGTTCCTCCACGGCCGGAGAATCTCCGTGACCGACGAGCCAGTCCTCACGCGGGAACCGGGTTTCCGGGCCAAAGAGACCTTCTACCAGAGCCAATGGGAAGCCAAGCTGTCCGGGGGCGAGGACGAGGAAGAGGGACACTTCTGTATGCTGCTGGACAGCTTGGGAGCCAGTAATGTTTTTGAAGAGTGAGGAGCATCCCCGAAAACCCGCATGATCCGATTCCGCGTCTGAAAATAACTCATCTGGCGCTTGTTTTTACTGCCCCAGCCCGGACGAGGTGCGCTGCCTGTGGGCGCAGCTCCGGCGGGACGAGCCACACCTGCTGTCTAACTTTGAGGAGTTCCTGGCCAGGGTCACCCATCAGATCAAGGAGGCCTGCCGGGAGAAGAAGGACATGGAGAGCGCCCTCCAGAGGTCAGAGGGCGCAAGGAAATATTTCTTGACGCGGGTTTACGTTTGGATTTGGGTTTGAATCACGCTTTCGTTATCATACGGAACGCGTTCTCCTTCCTAATCGAGCGCCGTGTGACATAACGACGTGTTTCGCTGCAATTCCACACAGAACAGTTTCCATAATCAGACTTCATCCGTGTCAAATGACTGCTAATCTCTCCCTCGGGGCTGTGAGAACACACACACACACACACACACACACACACACACACACACACACACACACACAGAGCGGCCGGAGAGATGATTTCGTCTATGTTGTCATGCACTCCATAATTGGGGTCACGTTCCCGCGGCGCCGCGTAGTACGGTGCTCGGGTGACTTAGCTTTTAGCTTGTGATTACCAGAGGGGAAAGGCAAATCGCGCTCGAGGCTTGAGTTTTTTCAAAGAGGACTTAAGCGTGTGCGTGAGTGAGTCAACAATGGCGTTCAGCTGTTGAGGAATGCTCTCAATGGGCGTCCCCCCGACCCCGCAGGAAGGCGGCGACGCACCACGACGAGATCCGCCACCTGTACGAGGAGATGGAAGCGCAGATCAAGACGGAGAAGGACAGGCTGCTGCTGAAGGTAGCTCCCTTTGACAAACGCAAGCGCTCCCTTGTCAACTTTGACCTCGGGGGGCCCCCGCAGGACTCGGAGCGGCTCCAGTCGAGAAGCCAGGACCTGGAGGACCAGCTGTCCTCCAAGGAGAAGGAGCTGGAGTTGCTCTTCCAGAAGCAAAAGAGGGTAAGGATCTAATCTCGGATCTACTTTCGCGTGGGTTCTGATTTTTTTGGGGGGGAAAAAATGTTCTTGGTTTGGCCATAGTTGGAGCTGGAGTGCCGCGAGCTGAGCAGCGAGAAGCAGGAGAGCCACGTGGAGAACGTCAAGCTGAAGGTGACCAACGACGAGCTGGCGCGGGCGCTGGAGAGCACCAGCCAGGAGCTGCTGGTGGCCCAGGACCAGCTCGCCCTGCTGCAGGAGCAGGCCGCGCGCCTCCACCAGGAGAAGGAGATGTGGGTGTTCAGACGGCACTTGAATGGATTAAAAAATAAAAAACATGAGAACAACATCCTTGACTTTGAATGAGTTATAATAACGGCGGGTCAGTTGGAAATCTTGTTTTGTTTTTTGTTTTTCTTCCAGGGAAATGTACAGAGTGACAGAAGGACTGCAAAGAGAGAAGCAAAGCCTCATGAAGCAGCTCGATCTCCTCAGGTTGATCAATACAACGCTTCTGTTCATTTTTAATCATTTTACACTTGATCCTAATGTCTTTTTTTTTTCCTCTTCCAGGGAGATGAACAAACATCTGAAGGACGAGCGGGATATCTGCTCTGGTGTGGTGAGAGTGATTTTATTGTTAGAATTAAGAAACTAAAAACGTTTGGAATTCCATGTTTTTTTTACAAAAAAAAAAAAAAAAAAAAAACAGCCAAGAACATCCTTGAGGAAGAAGCAGAAGCAGCGAGTCGCCCTGGCCAACATGTTTGACGACAGCAGCCAGCCTGCCAAAAGGTGACTCCTCCCTCCATCATGATGATGTCATAAAAAAAGGAAAAACAGAGGATATCTGCCTTATTATTATTATTATTATTTTTTTTTTTTTTTTTTGTGTAGCATAATTCACTCTTAACATTTGAGTACATCCTCTGTTTCTCCCGTTTCCAAAGATCTCCTCCGGTGCTGGATGGCTCCTACCAGTCTCTGGAGGCCTTGCCTCTCGAGCACCTTCAAATCGTGTTTGTTGCTTCCTCCTCCTGTAGTGAGGACGACGCGGCCGCCGGCGTCAATTCGCTGAAGAAGAGCGCCGGGTTGACCAACGGCTACGCCGGCCCCGCCCCTCCCAAAACTCACAACGCGAGGGCCAAGGGCAAGAAGGCCATCGCCAGGTCTGCCAGTTTTCGGAGGACCGCCAGAGAACGGGCCAAGAGGGCGGAGACCAAGCCCGAAGTCGGGGACGAGGCGCTGGACTCCCCCCCGGGCGGTTGGCCCCTCCGCCGGGTCATCTCCATTGAAGAGGACCACCTGCCTCACCTTCTCCAGGGGGGTCCGCAGCTGCTCCTTCACCAGCTCAGCGAGGAGGAAGACGGCGAGGAGGCGCAGAGCGATTTGGAACGTAGCGCGCTCACCGAGAAAGGGGGACGTTTTTTTCGGGCGAAGAAGAAGACCCCAATGTCGCCGCGGGGTCAGCCGGTCGGGAAGGAGACCCAACAAGTGGGTGATTTCGCCACTTTTGGAAAACCACCGTCTTCCCCTTTGATTTCGACATGAATTTATTTTTTTCCTTGAAGGTGGCGGAAGTGCCCGTGTTAGGCCCCAGTCGTCTGTTTAAGGTGGTCCTGGTGGGCAACTCCAGCGTGGGCAAGACGTCGCTTCTTCGCTCCTTCTGTGAGGGGCATTTCCACCCATCCACCACGGCTACTGTGGGTCAGTGCCCTTTTTTTTTTTTTTTTTTTTTAATGATGCAAAGGCAAAAGAGTGCAAATCACATGAAAAGGCTTGTAAAGTCACACTGAAGATTATGCCGGGTGAGATTCCTTTTTCACTTTGATCTTTCCCAATCCTTCTATTTTTTTTTTTTCCCAAAACTGGAGCATATGCCCAGCACTTGGTCTTTCAATAAATCTTGAAAGAAAAAAAATAATAATGTATATTTTGGTGACTTTTTTTTTCTCAGTGAAGAATGGAAAAAAAAAATTCATAAAATGAAACAATATTTTTTCAGTTTCTTAATTTCTCAGTGCCTGGTGGAAGCAATTTTTTTTTAAATTGAATAAAATCAAACGTTTTGTTTTTTAAAAATTATTTTCCTTAGTTTCTCATTAGTCGTGTAAAAACATTTACAGTATCAATTTTTCAGTAAATAATAATCAACAATCTTTTATGAAACTTTTTTGAATCAGAAACACAGTAAATGTTTCTAGATGTTTCCCCCCGAAATCAGCCCTGATTTTTTTGTCTCTAAGCACATTAGCTTTTCATAACAAAAAAAAAATTATAACCCTCCTTTGTTTTGTGTCTAGGGAAAAAATATATAATAATTATAATTAGTTTTTTGAATTTAGCTTTTCACATTGCGTAATGCATCACTCTTGACTCTTCATCAGGGATCGACTTCAGCGTGAAGACGTTAACCTTGAACAATATGCAGATCGCGATGCAGCTTTGGGACACGGCGGGGCAAGAGAGGTGAGCGGCCGTCATTCATTTCCCGTGCCCGTTTCATCACCCCCCCTGCCTCCCGACGTCTCTTCTTGAATTTGCGAGCTCAGCGGAAAGCGCGGATAAATCAGCGGCGGCGGGGGGATGGGCTTTAGAAATTGTCGGCGCTCCGGCAAGCGGCCCCCCGCGTGCTATTCGTCGAGGGTTACGGAGGTTCACCGTGTTGCCGGCGCAGGTACCGCAGCATCACCAAGCAGTTCTTTCGCAAGGCCGACGGCGTGGTGGTGATGTACGACGTCACGCTGGAGGAGAGCTTCAAGGCCGTGCGACCCTGGCTCGCCAACGTCAAGGTCTGGCTTCAAAAATTGCCCGCCCCTTAGCATCACATTTTTATTTTATTTTTTTGCTATGTCATCACTTTTTTTTTTGCAGGAAGCTGCAGGAGAAGGCGTCCAAATCCTTGTTCTGGGCAACAAAATGGACATGGACGGAGACAGGCAGGTGTCCTTTAAAGAAGCAGAACAACTGGCCCAGGTATGATGAACCCGACCCGACTTTGCATTTGTAATCTAGTGTCTGTCCTAAAAAAATGTGATTCTTGCGTTTTACTCGCAGGAAAGCAAGGTGATGTTCTACGAGGTCAGCGCCTACACGGGAAAGAACGTGACCGAGTCCCTGACCCACCTGGCCCGGTAGGATAACGTCCCACACGTTAGCCTAGCGTGTCGCTATGCCCTCAATACGAATGAAATCATTTCAAAACTTTTCCCTTCCTTCACGTGACCGATAATCGGTCAATCCATTTCATTTCAAGATGGGGGGGGGGGGAATTCAAAATGCATAACTGAAATGTCAACGGGGTTTGCGCAAATGCGCACGCCCTCTGAGAATTTGATCAGAAACTTGGCATTTGAGCAGGGGTGTGTAGACTTTTTATATGCGCTGTTTCTTGTTCAAATTGGCCCTCAGGGTGTTGATGGAGCAGGAGGACCGGGTGAGAGACACCACCGTCATCCTCAGCGCTCAGCCCTTGAAGAAAAAGGCCTGCTGCAAGTGAACATGCCTTGGTGGAGGTCCTCTTTTGTATTTAACCTTCAGCGAGGACGCTTACAATATGATCCGTGTTATCGCTATTACTCGATATTGTTAGAACTTCGTCTGCTCTGGGGGAGAAATCATGCTTGTAGCATTTTCTTGATCCGACATTATTTGTAATGCAATCACATATTCGGGATGAATAAAATATTTGCAATTGCGTTTAAAATGACAACCTGGAAACTTCCTTTCAGCTTTTTAATTTGATTTTGCTTTCTTCTCCATTGACATGACCAGTAGTGCGTTTCCGGGCGTTCTTAACGAAGCCAAAGTCTCCTTCGTGCTAAGCAATACGGTTAAAATGGGTCAATCTGACCCACGGCAAGAACAGGAGGGTCCATGATGGTGGTTACATTCTTCAGCGTGTCTGTCTGGTGTTATTGCTGTTATTGATGACATCACTGAGGCAGGCTGGGATGGCATCCTGTGGGGTGCGATCGACCCCCTGTATGGATGCGATGGTCGTTTTCAGGAGACTTAACGCATCTTGTAGTCGTGGGAGATGGCGGCGTCGCATAGCTGGCCTTTAAAGTCGAGCTCCAGAGTGAACTCCAGGTCGCGCTGCAGTCAAAGAGTCAGGGAAGCAATCAGGAAGCGGCAATCGCGGTAGCGCCTTGTCACTTTGGTGGGTCAAACTGACCCCTTTTTAAAGTTCAAAATAAATTTAAAAAATTGGTAAATCTAGTGGCTTCACCAATATTTATTTTTTTTCTGCCACTTCTCAGATGATGGGTCAAATTGACCCAAGATGATAACACCTGACTCTGAGAAGGTAATAGAACAAGAGTGTTGCTACACCAGGATAATAAAAACTTGTTTTTACGCTACTCTCTTTTTTTCTGGAGCTTGCAACGGGTCAATCTGACCTGTTGTCGGTCCAATTGACCCATTTTGAAAATACACCGTAGAGTGAGTAGCAAAAGTCGCATCTTAATAAACAGTCTCACCATACATATTGTTTGAAATGATAAGAAATTGATACGTAAGCAACAGGTCATGGGTCAAATTGACCCGGGGACATTATTGCTTTCCTGAGTTGCAAAAGAACCAGCGGGTTGGTATACCATATACAAAAAAAAAATTAACAAATCTAGGACAGCTATAGGTGCAAATGGGTCAGTCTGACCCGTACTCATTTGTCCTCCTTACCACATTCTTCTCGTTAGGCCTGACGGCGATGCTGCCGAATATCTCCTCGCCTTTTTTCACCGTCAGGTAGTCCTCCAAGTAGAAGACGGTCTGCTTCCAGTGTGTGCTGGCCGCGTCCGGCGCTGCGGAAGGAGGAGGGAACCGGCACATTGACTCGAGGTGAAGGGAATGGCTCCAGACAGGCCGTCAGGACGCTCCAGATGCCGTGGACATTTCTCAGCCTCGGGCGGGGGATGCCGGCAGCATACACCAAACATAGAACCTCCTCGGCACGCCATTATGCAATATACGATTACATAATACTGTGGGCTTCCCGCACGCCATGTTGCCAAAAAAAAAAAAAAAAAAAAAAAAAAAAAAAAAAAAAAAAAAAAAAAAAAAAAAAAAAAAACGGCGCGGTGACTCCACAACATTAGCGATGTAAATATATAGAACAGAAAAGTAACTACTTCTGATAAATGAAAAAAAAATAAAAAAATCAGGCCTCACCGGTGGAGAAGCCCGTCTTCTTGTGACACTTGCTGAACTCGACGCTGAAGTAGGTGACCAGCGCGTGCACGTAGTCGTTGCGCTGCACCTGCAGGCAGAACGCCGACGTGAAGGTCAGGTCGTCCGGCTTCACTGTGTAGATGTCCACTTCCTGTAAGTGTGTGTGTGTGTGTGTGTGTGTGTGTATCATTGTATGCGTGTGAGTGGAGGTGGTGGAGGAGCAACAAAAACAAGTCATCTTTTCTCTCATTTCTTTGCAGCATGTGAAGTTCACACTCCCACACACACACATATATGTTTATCTTGTGTGATTATTATTCTCTGTGTGTGTGTGTGTGTGTGTGTGTGTGTTCTTTGGAGCATGTGAAGTTCACACTCCCACACACACACACACACACATACACATACACATGCATATATGTTTATCTTGTGTGATTCTTATTTGTGTCCGCAGGTTGAATCACTCCTCACGAGCCACCGCTCACACTCCACACGCCGCGCGCGTGGGCGCGTTGCCGGGCGTTCGCTGGCGGCGTCACGTGGAGACCACTCAACGGTGGTTACGGGGAAAAATAGGTCCCCTTGCTGGCCACTTCATTAGGTACACACACACGCACACCACTCACACCGATCGATCCGAGGGCAAAAATGTGCCGCTGACCTTCAGCAGGCAGGCGTTGGTGACCACCTGCTTGGGGTCCACCACGTCCACCAGCGGCTCTTTGATGGCCACGTTCCGAATGCAGCTCATGTCGAAGCCGTACACGTTTTCCCACCCTACACACACACACGCACACGCGTGCATTTATCGTCAGTTACTATTGTGTGTTCAAAAGCAAACCCAGATGGACTCACAGTGGATCTTGAAGTCCTTGTACTGCCTGTCTTCGATGGCCACCACATAGAGGGACGCTCGGTCGGGGAACATCAGACCTCCCGGTTTCTGCGTGCGGGAAAAGGCGTCAGCGGAGTTCAACGGTTACCGCCAAGCCCCGCCCCGTTCCTCCAGCGTACCGTACCAGCCACTTGTCCCGGGCGAAGATGACGGTGTTGAGCATGGACTCGTAGAAGAGGCAGTAGCCCATCCACTCGGAAATGATGATGTCCACCTTGTCCACGGGGAGCTCCACCTCCTCCACCTTGCCCTGGAAGATGGTGATGACTGCAACCGGATGCGTGATGGACGTCATGAGGAACGCCATCCGATTGGATGCGAGGTCAGGGGGGCAAAATATGCCGATTTTTTTATTTTTATTTTTTTGAGCTGTGCGTTTACCATTGTGCAGGTGGTTGGACTTGATGATCTTCTCGGAATACTCGGAAATGCTGGAGCACTCGATCTGCGGGCGCCAAAAGCGTGCTCGTTACACGGCATGGAGTAAGCGCCGATGAATACGTCAACATCTCATTAAAAGGTCTTTTTTTTTCCCCTCCCACCCTCACCCCGTAGACGTGTTTGGCCCCGGCGTTGGCGGCGAACATGGACAGGATTCCCGTGCCGCTCCCGACGTCCAGCACCACCTTGTCCTTGAACACGTGCTTGTTGTGATACATGGCGTTGCGGTAGGTGAGCGTGCGCACTTCGTCCTTCAGCATCTCCTGGCAGGGGGAAGCGCAAGCTTTCCTTCAGCACAATGAGCGAACGCGGGCCAAAAGTCTGCGCGGCGACGTCTCAAAATAGACGGAAGCGTATCACAAGTCCCCCCCACACCCCTCGGGAGCCACCCGATAGCCGACTTCCCTTTTTCTGCTGCTCTCTTTTTGTGCGAGAGCAAAGGCCCACTTATCTACTAAATTTGGAATCTCCCGGGTGTAAAATGTCCCCAAAATTTCTCCACTGTTGTCACCTTTCTACACGCAAAGTCATTCCTGAAATAGCGCGTTCAAAGGAGCTTCTTTTTAATGAGCACGCCGATGACGGTTGCTAATGGAAAAGATGTCTCTCATGCCAGATATTTGTTCATGGAGAAAAGGACCTTTCCTGGCTAGAACTGGACCCGAGTATGCCTCACACTGAGTATGCACCTTTATTTTGACTCACGGCTCAGTTTCTGTACCTCATGGATGCCAAAGTGGGCGTAGGAGTCAAAGTAGTAGTCCCGCGACGTCATCTCCTCGGGGCTGATGAATTTGGCGCCCTTGCCTCTAGCGGAACAGGCGCCCTGCGGGGCGGCGCCGCGGGGCGCGTGTTGGCGTTGGTGGTGGGCGGTAGGCACTGGTTTGGCCGCGCGGGGCGGTTGGGCCGACTGGGAGAAGTTGGAGGTGACGACTTGGTGCCGCTGGAGATTGCGGCAGAAATTATATTTTTTAAAAATTCTGCATACTCAAAAAAATTTTATATTATGCGCATATAAATATGATTTTTTTTTCCAAATGTAAAAACATAAAATGCCACACATCTAAATGATGTAGACTATAACAAACAATCTGCAAAGTTGGAGGCATTCTGTTACTTTCGCTGACCGGTGTTCCTAATACTTTGTCCACCCCCATTGAAGAGAATGGGCAAACCATTAGGAACCCCTCTCCTCTCGTACTGCTGAGCCCCCCTGTCGGGGACAGACGCGCTTTAATGAATCCAGTCCCGATCAGATACGATTGATTGCATGAGTCGGTGTGCCAAATAAAGTGAACAGGAGGGTGATTTTTTTTAAGCACCAAGGACAGCGAATTCGCGGGCTTTCTCCCGCGACATTTTCACCTTCTGGTGAAGTCCATTGACGCTCAAAGTGTATCGTTGACCGTCCGTTATATCACGATGACTTATTAAAGCATTATGGTAAAATATCGTGGCCGTGAGAGCGCGCGTGGATCTCGCGCAGGACCACCCCCAAGCCACCCACCTCCCTGCACTTACCTCACAGCCGTCCGCCTCCGCCATCTTCCGCCGAAGCAGCAAACAACGCGACGAGTGACCGAGTCCCATGAGAGCCGGCGAGACTTGCGCACGAGATTTGATTGTCCTGACCGGATACTCGCTTGGATTTGCGTGGAAATGTCACGCACTTCCCAACGAGACTTAAAATAAATAAATGAATGAAAAGTTGCACGGAAGGTGCATTAATCCATTTTTATCACTTGGTGCACGTGCACCCCTGCTGCAGGAGGTTCTGGGTTCGAGCCATTCCACCTTGCGCACGCCCGCATTTTCAAATCCACGGGTGCTTTCGCGTGAGTGACGGTGGAGTGGAGGCTGCCACGAAGTTTGCACATGCATTAACTCTCTCTCTCTCTCTCTCTCTCTCTCTCTCTCTCTCTCTCTCTCTCTCTCACTCTTTTGAAGCTGAGGGGCGTTCAAATCTGCGGGAAAAATACAAATTATGCAAAAATCCACAGCCGCCGGCCACCTCATTAGGTACACCTGCAGTACAAACAGACGGAGCCACAATAAAAAAAGCGTTTTTAAAAAAATATATTTAAATGTCAATTAATTTAACATAAAAACGCACAAACCTCAGCAAATTAATATTGATTCTTTCATTTAAATTGCAATTAAATATATTCAAATGAAATTATTTTTGGATTCATTTTATTGAATCAGAATGTCCGAAATACTTTTAAATTAATGATAAATAAATAAATACACTTGAAATAGAAATAAAAAATACATTAATTACTCCAGAGTAATGCTTCTTTAGATTTAAATTACATGTAAATATTTTGGGATGTATTTATTTTTTTAAAGTTTTTTTTTCAGTGAAATGTACTAAATTATTACACTGCAACAAAACAAAATGTAACCTGATATGATGCATACAGTGAGAGGCCCTGTAAGAAACACAGTTAATGTATGTTAATATGCTCACTTATGTAGCCGGTACTATATTTGAATGGACATTATATAATAAGAAAATAATGAGCATCTTATTGCTTATGTAATAATATGTCGATTTTAAGCATTCGAGTGTGCAAGTATGTGTTGGACAATTCATGTCTACATAATAACTAACATGAGGCAGGTGGTCCTCACGTCTCAAAAAGGGAGCTGACAAAACAAAGCCATATTTCACGGCTGATCTCCCTGAGCAATTTTTCATCATGTTCTTTTTGGCTACTCATTCATTACGTTCACCCCCCACCCAGATGTCTCACAGGCAAGACAGACTCACGTCCAAACAAACAGATGTCAAAACCTGGCCGCTGTATTGTGAATTTTAATGACGTTTTGTTGTTTTTGGAGGTCCTTCTATTTTTTTTCACACCAGTAGGCCTCAAGGCATGACAGCAAAATGTGCAAACCAAATGAGCTTGCATTTCTATTCCCCTGGTAAGTATGCAAATATGAGGAAAATAAGCAGATAGCAGTGTCTGGATAAATCACTGCTTTGCAATGCTCAAACTTGGAGCTTTTTCTTCTCTTTTATCTCTCTTATATTGCTGCATTCTTGCCGGGAAAATGCTAAAGGCTGTATCTGTGGTTTCCTTGTAGCCGAGGCTGTGTTGTTCAGAGGAATTCAGTCTGTCAAGCAGCTTTGTTTCTTTCTCTCAGCCCCTGTTGACCCTTCCCACAAGTTCATAATACGAGGCTTTCAATGTCTATCGGAAATGGGAAAATTTCCAGTGAAGTTAAGATTTGTTTACATTCAACACCGTATGTATTAATAGTAGTACTTTCTTCACCTCATTTTACACTGGTGTACATGCATATTTTGTTACCTAACTCAACTGAGATTAGTTGGAAAGCACGGTAAAAGCGATGAAATCTAAAAAAAACGAGGTGCGACAAAGGCATCGCAAGGCTCCATCGGACAGCCTGTCATCAACAAGCCCGACTCCGCTTGATTGCAGCGGTGGTTTCCGCTGCCCACATTTCATTTTAAACTCGAATCAAAAGGGAGAGTTTCCCTTCTTTACGTCGAACCGGTGAGTATGTTGTCACCCACGCAACGAAGCGTCGTTTTGTCGAGCGAACAGCCATTTTTTTTTCCCGTTCAACTTTTTTTTTTGTGCTGCGCATCAGTGACGCAGGTGGTCAGGATGTTGTCGTTTGGGAGCTCTGCTCAAGCAAACTGCGGACATGGACGAAAAACATACGCCTATGATCAAAACGGCAACAAATGGGACGTGTTTTATTTAAGTTTAGGGTCGATTGATTTGACGCATGGCGGCGTTTAAAGTCCTTGACTTGTTGACGTACGGTAAACGGTGACCTACGTCTACGCAGTATCTTACGTTAAAATACGAGTTGATGTCTAGGTATATTACCAGGTTACGCCAAATTAGCATCTATGGCGCCAGTTACGCCAACGTAAACTGCCATATTACGTCAAACCGTCGAAGGTCAACGTTTTCGTTTGCCAAATTTTCAAATTTAATAGCGTCGACAAAATACGTCTATGATTTTTTTTGTTGTTGTAGTTTTCCTAAGTTTAGTTTGTTATTTACGTCAAAATGCCTGACGTCAATTTAATTGTTTAATAGCGTGGATAAAACACCAAATACTTGATATTTAAAACAGAGTGAACAAAATTAGCACACTCAAGCAAACATGTTGCTGAGTTTAGTTTGCTAGTTTATGAGAGAGCCGTTATGTTATTTCGGTGTGGAAGACAATTTAAACGAACGGCCTATCATATGTATAAGAGCGTGACAGTACATCTACATTGTGTGTCTACAAGGAAGGATGTTGGGCAGATCAATTAAAGTGCTTCCCACACGAGGACCTGGGCGTTTATTTACAGAACTGAAAGCTGTATGCGGCAGTTGGTAATTCAGAGTTTATGGCCTGCTCATTGCACTCAATAATTCATTGAATGTATGTGGTGTGAGGATAATATTGTGGAGGCTTCATCCCACTGCAAATAGATAATATTTTTGAAGCTTAATGTTATCTAGAAAGGCTGGAAAGAAACAATGTTGATTATATTCTTTATATCTCCTTGCGTTCTTTAAACAGCACTAAACTGGAGGAAAAAGTGGGACAATGTCATCTGCTTACAAAGGTGGCGAGGAAGACTGGCTGACCGTGTGTCTCAAGTACCTGCTGTTTGTCTTCAACTCGCTCTTTTGGGTAATTGTAATTCAGAACCGATACATTCGCCCACAAAGATCCACCGCTAATGATGTTCATATTTAAAAAGCTTTTGTGCTCCATCAAAGTGCTGGGAGAGTCATGTAGGAGTTTATGGACTTGGCGCCTGATGACTCATAAATTGCTTCAAGAGCTTGACAGGTTTTGGCAACTTCAACACTCTCGAGGTCACTTGAAAACATACCTTAAAAGTTTGATGCACATTCGTCTTTTTCACCCAAAAATGCGAGCAAACTGCTGGAATTTCCCCCAGAGGAACACATTTGGACACCTCCCTTTTATTATTGTTGAGCAGGAAGTGCATGTAATGGTCCGGCCTTGTCTGTAAAACTGTACTTTCAGGTGGGAGGTGCCGGCGTCCTGGGCGTGGGCGTGTGGACGCTGGTGGAGAAGAGCGAGTTCCTGAGCCTGCTGGCGTCCAGCACCTTCGCCGTCGCCGCCTACATCCTCATCCTGGCAGGTGGCCTGGTGGTGGTCACAGGCTTCCTGGGCTGCTGCGCCGTCATCCGCGAGCAGAGGAGCTGCCTCTCCATAGTCAGTATGGAGAGTTATTGAAACCCCCTTTATGGGTGGGAGTGATTTATTGTCAATGAATCGGTTGTGTTGGGTAGTAAACTTCATTTTAATCCAGTTCGATTGCAGACATTTCCACCATGAGGTAGCTGAAAGTTAACAAGTAGTAAACGGGTTGGCCCATAATTATTGTTTTGCACTGCCCGAGTTAATCGAGTCGTGACATAAAATCCTGTTTTCTTGTCTCTTGCGGTGCATTAAAACTCATCATGCGAGCGACCGAGACTGTCACGTCTGCCGCGGGAGGAGTTCTCTCCTCGCCACTCGTTCGGAGAAAGTGACAAATGGCTCTGACAAGGCCCTCGCTGTCCTCATTATTTTACGCAGGCAGGCAAGAGGGAAACCTTGGCTACTGCGGAACTATTTATAGGCTTGTATCTGCCGCGGATGGATGTGATCAAGAGGCGCTTGCATGTTGTATGTTCCGATCGCACCGTGCTATTTGAAGGCCGCTTTTTACATGTGTTGTATATGCAGAAAGGATGGAGCCAAAGTGCCCGCGCGTGGGCGGAAAGCACAAAGCGACGAGTGTGTGTTGCCGTTCGACGCATAGCGGGCTAAGCAAGTCACGCCGACGTTTTCCGTGACATCCACGCTGTGTCAATTCCAACTCCCTACTTCCCCGCAGTTGTTTATTTGAGTCCGCGTTTTAACATCTCGTTTCCTACGATACGCGGGGAGCCACCCACGCTCTCATTTGAACGCGTGCGAGTCTGAAAACGCGTGGGCGCTTTTGTTCAGTTTTGCAGCTTGCATAACGTCGCCCGGGAATTTTTTTCCAAGTCTTTACTCAATGCAATTAGAGTCATTAGCGTTTGTTTGCGTTGAGTGCCTCCCAGCCTCGGATCATTAGTTTAGTTTTGAAATAATGCTTTCTTTGCACCGGGGTGATGATTTGTATTAGTATTATTTTTTTCAATCTCATCACGACGAGTAATGGAGATCCCTGGGAGGAAATCGCATTCCGCCCCGCCTGTCAAAACGTCTTCCCGGATGCCTCGTGCCGCGCGGCGTCATGGACGAGAGACAGATGCCGCTCGTCTTGACAGCCGCTGGAAGTTTTTAATGGACTAAAGTTGTCAAGTCACTTCCCTACCGGGAACTCAACATTTGCATTTGTCACCCCCTTCCCACCTTTCGCACAGTATTTCTTCTGCCTGCTGTTGATTTTCCTCATTGAGCTCGTGGCTGGAGTTCTGGCTTACGTTTATTACCAGAGGGTAACGTGGCAGTATTTAAAAAAAAATATTTAAAAATACAAAAATAAGCTTTGTCAAGGATGAATTTAAGGCATTCTGGTGTTTCTTTCTAGCTGAGCGAGGAGCTGAAGGAGCATCTCAAGCAGACCATGACGGACAACTATGCCCAACCGGGGAAGGAGGCCATCACGTTAGCGGTGGACAAACTACAACAGGACGTACGTTTAGTTTATTCCAAGAGCACAAAAAACGAAAACTTTTAATTCATTGATAGGAACACAATAACACGAAACCCATTTGTGTCGGTAAATATATGTACACTATATTGTTTAAATATGTATAATAATCCAGACATATATTCTTGATCCTCGGCGAAGAACAACTGATATTCCTGCAGCTTCCTGAAGCATGAGGTTTCTCTGTATATTTGTACGTCTGCTCCCGCGGCCGCGGTGTGCGGACCAGAAGGTGGAGCACTGTATCCATTGAATCAAAGCAAAAAAAAATAAATAAATTGTCAAATTTTGTCCTCCCCAGTTCAAGTGCTGCGGCAGCGACAGCTACCAAGACTGGACGACCAGCGTGTACATCGCGTCCACGCGCGCCGACGGCCGACTGGTGCCCGACAGCTGCTGCAAGTCGGTCACGCCGGATTGCGGAGTCCGCGACCACCCGTCCAACATCTACAAGGTGGAGGTGAGTCTCCCCCCGAATCCTCTCTGACACCCCCAGCGAGCGTCACACTTACCGCCTCGTCACCGTCCGCAGGGAGGCTGCATCACCAAGCTGGAGCAGTTCCTGGCCGACCACCTGTTGGTCATCGGGGCCGTGGGCATCGGGGTGGCCTGTCTGCAGGTAGGTGGAGGAAAAACATTTGACATCGTTCAAATCCACGTTTGAGAGAGTCAATAAAAACAAAAGTCACCAATTGCAGTCAATCAACTCATCCAATTCGCTAAGCACTAAAACGAGTCAACTTTGAATGTGCTGCGCCCGAGATAGGAAAACAGTTTTAAAATAGGCCATTCGTTGAAGGTGCGCCTTCTACTCCGAAGCGCCTTATCGTGCGGAGAATAGGGTGAATCAATTGGGATATATCCATTAAATTGATTTGTCCCATGATTTATTTGTAATGACTTTTGGAGAAACCTGAGCCCAAGCAACAACCTGCACTTTTATTTATTTATTTTTATCACTTGTATCTACCACCATGAAACGTGTTTTGCGAATAAATAATGCTGCAACTAAGGTAAGTGTGATGTCAATTTGGGAACTTGTTTTGGCCAATCATATCTTATTCTGAAACTAATTGCATGTTGTTGAGTATATCCATGTCAAAGTCTTACCTGCCTTCAAGAATTTCTCCCTGCCTGTCCTAATATTGATTCACACGCTTACGTTGAACACATAAATCCAGCTTTAACCCCCCTGGTTGTAGTTTTCCAAATAGATTTTGTAATTAGTTTTGTGTCACACAAAACTAACCCGTGTGTGTGTGTGTGTGTGTGTGTGTGTGTGTGTGTATTTGTGCGTAGCTGGCCGGAGCAATCTTGACCGCCTACTTTATCTATCTTCTCTATAAAGAAGAGGAGGAGGACTTGGCTACCTTGTGATTGTCGTTAGCGCCGCACTTTTCGCTCCCGTGTTCTTTGTGCAGGTGTGAGCGCAAGTGTGGATGACATTTGCATGTGCGTGTCATGTGACGAATGCAACTAGCCGCTTTCAATGTATTCACAGTCGCTGTCCATCTTGTTTTACTTTGGAGCCCCTGGATGGATTTGAGGCAACTTTGTGGATCATGTGTTTGTGCTTTAAAGTAGCCGCGATGTCCCACGTAGTTCACTGCAGCACAGAATTTGCCCTCGCATGAGTGACGAGCTCGATAGTTGGAATGGTAATGGCCTCCCGGTAGGTTGGATGTGTTTTTCCTTGCATGGACGCTGTCACGCTTGTCATCTTCCGCGCTTTGTCGCGCCTGCAGGCCGTTTTGTCAAGTCTGTCAGTCAATCGCGCTTCCTGTTTTGCTTCTTTCTGTGGTCTCACGCCATACATTCTTTGACGGATTTTCCATTTTGCATCCTTACTCATGTCTTCTGGGTGCAAACCCGAAACGGCATCTCCGTGGCTTCAGTGGCCGCTTGAGCGCGAACGCATTCTTTCCCGGCTCGCCTTCCTCGTCGTCCGCCTTTGACCCGACGCTTCCTGTTTTCAGATCTGTGGGATGGTGCTCACCTGCTGCTTGTACAGGAGGATCAAGATGGAGCCTTACTGATGTCACCAAGCTCCTCCTTCTTCTTCTTCTTCTTTGTTTTTTTTAAATTTCTTGTCTGGTCCCTCGTGTCCTTTCGTTTGTGCTGAACAGTGGAGGCCTCGGGGAGCCCGTCTTGCCTTTAAGCTTTACTACGAGACCGACTTAAGGGGCTGTATTCAAGCGCCTCAGTGGTGATCCGTCTTGTCTGCCAGCGTTTGTGTTTGTGCTCGTGAATTATGAGTGTGCCTGAAATATACCAAAAAGTGAATTCTTAAAGTTGTGCCTGATAACATAACCAAACGGTTTGCTTTGAATGTGATGGAGCACGCATATCTGGAAGACACCAGAGTAGCCTTAATGCCTTGAATTCCAAGTATTTTACTCTCTCTGGCCACGTTAGGTACACTTTTGTATTAAAAAGTAGCCACAGTATGAGAAGCATCTCCAGCTGTATTGCAGTACAAACGACACCCATTAATCCATCTGACAATGTCAATCAAAATGGATTCTTGTCACTCTGTGTCACTGCTGTCCATTTTTATGCCGGTGTACCTAATGAGGAGTCGAGTGAGTTTCCAGGCCGTTTTTTTTTTTTTTTAAGGTGAGCTTCAAGTGTTTAAAACGAAACATGACAGGTGCTAACGAATGGGATTCACTTGCTCCAAATATCCTCTGTACTATTCCAGAAATATTAAAAACGAAGTGAACGTCACTGCAGAACCAAAATCCCGTTGCGATGTGTTGTTTGAGCCACTAGAGGGAGACAAAGCTCACATGTTAGGAAACGATTGCGTGCTCAAGTTCTTTGCTTGCCTTGCAGCTTTTGTTGTGACATTCGACCTACAGGGCGCATTTCAGTCAAAGATGAGCTCTTTTCGTGAAATCTGAACTTTCCCTCTGTTTTATTGTCACCGAATTATATTCTGAGCTGAGGGCTTACCTATAATTTCTCCAAATGTTGCCGCCGTGCTTCGCTCAAACCACATTTCGTCCCCCGTAAAGCCCTGACTGGACTTAAATGTCAGTCTCTGCGCCTTGTTAAACACGTTATGACTCGCTTGGTTTTCTTGTGTCTGTCTGGCCACGTGCACCTGCGTCCATAAACGGCGCCGCCTTAAGCGTTGTTGCACACCGGTGGGAACACTTTTCGGACGCGCACATCTGCGCGCCAAGAGTCCAAGGTTTGTTTGGCCGCAGTTGATTAGCCGTGCGTGAAGCCGCGCAGCGTGATGTAAACACTTCACGGGGATTTTGAAGTGAGTAAGCTGTTACACTGTCTGTTATTTGTCATGTGTCAGCAAGATGGGCGAACAAAGTTAATGCCCCCCACCGCCCCCCTTTTGCCACGGTTTGTTTCACAGGCGCCTGAAATCGAACATATTGCAGAAAATGGACCGTAATTGTGTTTATACAAATAATTGGGTCTCTGGATTGCCGGCCTATCCATCAAGAGTGATAGTAAACAACCAAATAAATCCTCAGTGAGGTGCTTTTTTACAAAAATGTGTCTGCAAACAACCCAGTTCTAAATGAGAATTCTATTGCGAAATGTGCTGCGCCCAAGTTAGAGGTAAATTGCCGAAATAACATGAAGCTAAATTACATTTCCAATTGATTAAATGTATTGTCCTTAAAAGTTAAAGATAACTATGCTGTACTGGATTTGAAAAATTTGAAGACACTGGAACAGTTTGCACCGGTTGGACATTTACTTGAGTGATTCTCTCACCTACCACTAGAGAGAGCTTGCATGCCACTCGCTGTACTCAGTTGACGCTTATAATTTGACGGCTTGCTGTCGAGAATAAAACGGATGCTTCTACTTTTTTTTTCGTTGACACGGAAGCGGCACGCGTACTTTCGTGTTGGCGGCTGAAGTAACCAGGAAGTGTGATATCATTCTTGATCCTTGGCGCGTTTTCGATGAAAGCACGCCACAGTTCTAAAAACACCTGGGAACTGTTGAAATTGCGAATAATAAAAAAAGAAAATGCATCATTGACACATTTCTGTCTCCGATTGAAATTCTACCTGCACATGCCACCCGAAGAGGCCTCTGCTTCCAAAAGGGGGGCTCATTACAGGCAGAAAAAGTAGGAATTTCTTCAGCATCTAAACAAAAGAACACCTCATTAGTGGCGCACTCGAGCTCCGAAGTGTCAAAAGTGAGGGTCGCCTGAGAGCCACTCATTTTGGCTTCTCACCAAATCCACTTAGATGTGAAAAAAAACAAAACTGTTTTTATGTCCGCCGTGAAACCCCCTCCGCCAATAATGTACAGCTTTTTAAGTTGAAACGGGACCAACGGGTGCCCGCTAGGTTCCCACGGAGTCCAGGATGTTGCGGTTCGGGAGGTATGCCGCAAACAAAATGGCGGAAAGTGTTTCAAGACAACGGGGATGTCGAGGGTACTGATTGATGCCAAACAGATGGGTGGGGGGGGGGGGTGCAGTCGTGATGCTTGAGCGTGCAGGTAAGGATGAAAACAATGATGAATGTGGTATCGCCGAGCCACATCCACACCGGGATCCGATTTTGGTCCGGCGGTTTTTCCACAAGTGATGGATGTTGCATTGGCCTTTCATGTGGGGGCCGAGAAGCGGAATGACACGTCAAGACCGGCGAGCTCGGGTGCCGTTACGTGTGTAAATTACGCGGATATGCGGTTAGAAGACTGTCAGCTTTTACACACTGGTTTCATTTGTTAAAACGGCTTTAAAAAAGAAATGGAGGGAAATCAAAAGAAGTGCAGGGGCAAGATAGCACGAAGGGAAATAGTTTTGCTCCCCACCTGAGATTGATAGCAGTCTGAAATGACCTTGCCTTGAACTTGAAGGTGGTTTTCCCACGTAGAACGAAACAAGAAGGGGCTCGGTTTGGCTCCCAGCTTTGGAGAAGACAAGTAAACCCTTGACTTCGAGTTGTTTAGTGGGCTTACAAATGGCAAATATATCTGAACAACAAAAAAAAAGTTAATTTTGAGTGGCTTGGGTTACTTTTACCCAAAGTTGGGTTGATTATTTTGACACAGCAGATCGTGATGAAGGTTGGATATGGGCAGGCTGAACAGCTGATGCTGGCCGCCATTTTGGGTGCGCTTTTTTTTTTTGTTGTGTACTAAATTTAATGTGACAAATCCCAGTCCGACAAACGGTCACATTGGAGGACATTTGGACTTCGCTCTCTCACCGCACTTTGGTTCCTTTTAACCCAGCAGGCTCAAGAGTGAATTTAGGTGCTAATTGTTACATACCGTGATACACTTTCACTCAAACGTGACTTTTTCTTCGGTGTTGCCATCTGTTGTTGTTCAAAATCTCCGCATTCCTTCGCCGAAGCCGAGGCTTTAGAACGTCCTTATACGCCGGCTTCGCCGCATGCGATATGCTGTGTTTATAGAAAGGGAATATTTTTTAATTGACGCTTTTACAGCACCGTCAGGGTGTTATCAAAGCATACTTGAGAATGTATGAAGCTTTGATGCAGCTTTGTATTGAATATAAACATCGTATTGGGTATCGCGGGGCTGTGTGTGCGTGCACGCACGGAGCCGACTTTTCGGCGTGGATGCGTGGCAGGCAGTAAGGTGCGCAGCTGTAGGGGCTTTTTCCACGCTCCTTACATCTGGAGCCCCTTTTCCACACTGGCGATTGCTCAAAGTGTGTCCGGACACTTCGGGATCCATCCAGTAAACATGAGTTCTAATGTCTCAGTTGACTCCTGCGAGCCATATGCTGCCTTGTAGTCGCCGGGTCAGATTGCGGGCGATGAAAGTCCGGATTGTAAAAGCCCGTTAACCTTGCATTTAAGTGTTGTGAAACGTACTCTCCTGTGAACCGAAAAGACAATAACAAGACGCGACATTGACTGGTGATGACTGGAAAAGCGTCCGCGCCGGTCACGCGATCGCTGAAAATGGCCCTCACGTGCTCGGCGTGACTTTTGATGTCGTCCTTGCGAACGTCGATGCTTGTTGACGTCTCTTTTACAACTTGCCACCGAGCGCCCTGACCAGACATCTTGAGAAATATTTGGAAGCTGTAAAAGTCGTGGTTGAGTCTCTTATTGTGTCTTCAGGGTGTCCACACGCCAGCAGGTTTCTATTTGTATCGCTAATTCTGTGGCATTATCCTGCTGAAATGAAAGCCAGGCGTCGTCCTTCCTGGTCAGGGAACGAAGACGTGCGAATCTTGTTCGAGCCACTAGATGGCCTCGGTTGTCCAATTGTTGAGAAGTCTACTCAGCCGTTCTGTGATTGTGCGTGGCGCTCGTTGACATTTTTCAGGCGGCGTCCCTGCAAATAATCGCGCGTTTATTTTAGCCGCGCAAAAGTGTTTCCTCCTACCGTGACAGCCTTCGGCCCTTCGTTGCCGTTTCGCCGATTGATGAGCGTCATCTCGTGACTTTCAGTGTAGCACTAAAACAATCACCATGGAGACCGTGGAGGATGTGTGTGTGTGTGTGTGTGTGTGTGTGTGTGTGTGTGTGTGTGTGTGTGTGTGTGTGTGTGTCTCGCCTCCCCCCCCCTCTCTTTGGCGCG